TAAGAGGCTAGCGGTGTAAACCTGGATCGGTTTTGGAAACACTGAATGTACACTTGCTAAAGCCGCTCTTAGATTCTCTAAACCTCGTTTTTTATCCACCTCATTAGTGCCCACCTTTTGAGTCTCCCACATCACCAAGCACCAAGTCTCTAATTGCGTTATTATTTCGCTCCAAAGGCTTGACACGTTTGGTTTTGGTCAGCGTCTTAACAGCCGTCTCCGATGCAGTCACCACCTTGGGGTCTGACGTTTCCGCCGCATTTGTTTCGCCGCACGTCGATACAGCTGCTGTGTGAAAAAATAAGACTTTTTATTACCACGCCAATGCTCCACATCTCAAAATCTGAAAACAACACTGTGATAAAAATAAAAGACTTTTCAACACAACAATCAATTAAATCTAAACTGTCAAAGTCAGAAAACTACGTTAACTATGATAAAAACGCCACACATGTGGTGCATCCTTACACAAAGGGCTGCGGGTGAATGGAACAAGTTACCCGGACATGTTGTTACACCGGTTTCCTTGACGGCGGTGGTGGCGCTACTGGGTCAAGCGGCGTGCTAACGGCCGCACAGACCAGTCGCTTTTAACTTTAAAAGCTAGGCAGTTTTAAAATAAGGTTTTTTAACACCCCCAAACAGAAAACTAAGCGAAGTAGGATCTTTCAGCGAATTAACATCCTAACAAAAGAAGTAACATTTACCGTAAGTGGATCATAACACATCTTGACCACGCTTAAATTTTATTAACCTTTGCTTGTTGATTTCAGACGTTTTGAGCTCGTTGCCCCAGTTAACTTGTTGGCTCGTCGCAGTTTATTTTTTGAAGGTCCGGGGTCTGCACGGAGTGGGAAAATACCATAAGTGAAAAAATAGAAAAACGGTGGGTATTTTTATTATAGACACGTTTAAATGGCCATGCTGAAAGACCTCTTCTCTCAGGCGCTCTGATAATATCCCCCGCACCGTCTGGTATGACGTGAACATCTGCCTGTGTCTCCACAAGGTTTTTGGTTGGTAATGCAAACCCCAAACAAGGTTTTTTAAATGTGTGGCGACTTGTCCCTTCGCCCGCGTCTGCAGAATAGACACATACGAGTTTTGGTGTGGAGTATATACCCCTGTGTCTTTAAGACCCACATGGGCATAAAGCGTTATTCAAAACATTGTCGTAATTACTCACCAGTGTTGTGCTGCGCCGTAACTGGTCTTTTTACAG